CACACTGCGGCTCCGTGCGCCTGGCGCGCCCGCCCGGCCGCGCGCCGCCCGCCGCCGCGCACCACCACCTGCACGTGGCCGCCAGGTACGTGCACACTGCACACTGTACTGCACACTGCACACTGTACTGCACACTGCACACTGTACTGCACACTGCACACTGTACTGCACACTGCACACTGTACTGCACACTGCACACTGTACTGCACACTGCGGCTCCGTGCGCCTGGCGCGCCCGCCCGGCCGCGCGCCGCCCGCCGCCGCGCACCACCACCTGCACGTGGCCGCCAGGTACGTGCACACTGCACACTGTACTGCACACTGCACACTGTACTGCACACTGCACACTGTACTGCACACTGCACACTGTACTGCACACTGCACACTGTACTGCACACTGCACACTGTACTGCACACTGCACACTGCGGCTCCGTGCGCCTGGCGCGCCCGCCCGGCCGCGCGCCGCCCGCCGCCGCGCACCACCACCTGCACGTGGCCGCCAGGTACGTGCACACTGCACACTGTACTGCACACTGCACACTGTACTGCACACTGCACACTGTACTGCACACTGCACACTGTACTGCACACTGCGGCTCCGTGCGCCTGGCGCGCCCGCCCGGCCGCGCGCCGCCCGCCGCCGCGCACCACCACCTGCACGTAGCCGCCAGGTACGTGCACACTGCACACTGTACTGCACACTGCACACTGTACTGCACACTGCACACTGTACTGCACACTGCACACTGTACTGCACACTGCGGCTCCGTGCGCCTGGCGCGCCCGCCCGGCCGCGCGCCGCCCGCCGCCGCGCACCACCACCTGCACGTGGCCGCCAGGTACGTGCACACTGCACACTGTACTGCACACTGCACACTGTACTGCACACTGCACACTGTACTGCACACTGCACACTGTACTGCACACTGCACACTGTACTGCACACTGTACTGCACACTGCGGCTCCGTGCGCCTGGCGCGCCCGCCCGGCCGCGCGCCGCCCGCCGCCGCGCACCACCACCTGCACGTGGCCGCCAGGTACGTGCACACTGCACACTGTACTGCACACTGCACACTGTACTGCACACTGCACACTGTACTGCACACTGCACACTGTACTGCACACTGCACACTGTACTGCACACTGTACTGCACACTGCGGCTCCGTGCGCCTGGCGCGCCCGCCCGGCCGCGCGCCGCCCGCCGCCGCGCACCACCACCTGCACGTGGCCGCCAGGTACGTGCACACTGCACACTGTACTGCACACTGCACACTGTACTGCACACTGCACACTGTACTGCACACTGCACACTGTACTGCACACTGCGGCTCCGTGCGCCTGGCGCGCCCGCCCGGCCGCGCGCCGCCCGCCGCCGCGCACCACCACCTGTACGTGGCCGCCAGGTACGTGCACACTGCACACTACACTGCACACTGTACTGCACACTCCACACTGCACTGCACACTGTACTGCACACTGCGGCTCCGTGCGCCTGGCGCGCCCGCCCGGCCGCGCGCCGCCCGCCGCCGCGCACCACCACCTGCACGTGGCCGCCAGGTACGTGCACACTGCACACTGTACTGCACACTGCACACTGTACTGCACACTGTACTGCACACTGCACACTGTACTGCACACTGCGGCTCCGTGCGCCTGGCGCGCCCGCCCGGCCGCGCGCCGCCCGCCGCCGCGCACCACCACCTGCACGTGGCCGCCAGGTACGTGCACACTGCACACTGCATACTGTACTGCACACTGCACACTGTACTGCACACTGCACACTGTACTGCACACTGCGGCTCCGTGCGCCTGGCGCGCCCGCCCGGCCGCGCGCCGCCCGCCGCCGCGCACCACCACCTGCACGTGGCCGCCAGGTACGTGCACACTGCACACTGTACTGCACACTGCACACTGTACTGCACACTGCACACTGTACTGCACACTGCACACTGTACTGCACACTGCGGCTCCGTGCGCCTGGCGCGCCCGCCCGGCCGCGCGCCGCCCGCCGCCGCGCACCACCACCTGCACGTGGCCGCCAGGTACGTGCACACTGCACACTGTACTGCACACTGCACACTGTACTGCACACTGCACACTGTACTGCACACTGCACACTGTACTGCACACTGCGGCTCCGTGCGCCTGGCGCGCCCGCCCGGCCGCGCGCCGCCCGCCGCCGCGCACCACCACCTGCACGTGGCCGCCAGGTACGTGCACACTGCACACTACACTGCACACTGTACTGCACACTGTACTGCACACTGCGGCTCCGTGCGCCTGGCGCGCCCGCCCGGCCGCGCGCCGCCCGCCGCCGCGCACCACCACCTGCACGTGGCCGCCAGGTACGTGCACACTGCACACTGTACTGCACACTGCACACTGTACTGCACACTGTACTGCACACTGCACACTGTACTGCACACTGTACTGCACACTGCACACTGTCCTGCACACTGTACTGCACACTGCACACTGTACTGCACACTGTACTGCACACTGCACACTGTACTGCACACTGTACTGCACACTGCACACTGTACTGCACACTGTACTGCACACTGCACACTGTACTGCACACTGCGGCTCCGTGCGCCTGGCGCGCCCGCCCGGCCGCGCGCCGCCCGCCGCCGCGCACCACCACCTGCACGTGGCCGCCAGGTACGTGCACACTGCACACTGCACTGCACACTGTACTGCACACTGCACACTGTACTGCACACTGCACACTGTACTGCACACTGCGGCTCCGTGCGCCTGGCGCCTGGCGTAGTGGGAGACGCCCTATACTTCGTCCACCGGTACGAGGCCGCCACTCGAGAATCTTTTTTCCCCATCGCTTCTCGGTTCTTCGATCTATATGGTCGGCCCATTGCCACCTCAGCTTATTAATCCGTTGGACTATGTCGATCACTCTGGTTCTACTGCGAATATCCTCATTTCTAAGTTTATCACGCAGAGAAATTCCGAGCATAGCCCTCTCCATAACTCGCTGAACGACGTTGAGCTTCCTCATCCGGCTAGCAGTGAAGGACCTCGTCTCAGTTCCATAGGTCATCACTGGCAACGCGCACTGGTAGAACAATTATTTTTTCAAGATTTGAGGTATATCTGATGAGAAGATGTGCCGTAATTTCCCGAACGTTGTCCAGCCGAGTTGCATCCGTCGATTGACCTCTCGGTCGAAGTTGGACTTACCTAATCGGATTATTTGTCCCAAGTAAACATACTCGTCAACAACTTCGGCCTTAAAGCTCCCAACAACTACTAGCATAGGTGTGACATGGTCGTTATACATGATCTTTATTTTGTCCATGTTCATCTTAAAACCTATCCGTTGGGAGGCACTATAGAGGTCATTGAGCATAGTGATTAGGTCCTCCAGCGATTCTGCCTAAAAAGACTATATCATCGGAAAATCGAAGGTGAGTGATGTACTCGCCGTTGATGTTAATACCGTATCCTTTCCAGTCAAGAAGCTTGAAAATATTTTCTAATACAGCGGTGAAGAATTTCGGGGATATAACGTCACCGTCAGTTGGATAGGTTCCGTACTCTGGTTCAGCACTCGGATAGTCATCGTGGCTCTACTGTACAAACACTTCAGCACTTCGATATACCGACAGTCAACTTGCACTGCTGAAGGGACTGCAGCACCGCCCACATTTCGACGGAATCAAAGGCTTTCTCATAGTCCACATACGCCAGACATAGTGGCAAATTGTACTCCTCGGCCTTCTGTACAATTTGCCGAAAGGTATGTATGTGGTCTATTGTGCTAAAGCCTTTTCGGAAACCGACTTGTTCGGGAGGCTGGAAATCGTCGAGTCTGCACACGAGACGATTCGTAATGGCTCTAAAAACAGCACGTAGATGCGACTCAGAAGGGAAATCGGTCTGTAGTTTTTCAAGAGAGCGTTGTCGCCTTTCTTGTAGTACAAGACCACCGCACTTTTGCTCCACGCCTCCGGTGTAGTGCCACCATGGAGGACGGAATTAAAGAGCTTCTGAAGGACTTCAAGTACCGGTTTTTCACCCGCTTTCAGAAGCTCCGCTGTAATTCCATCCTTGCCTGAGGCTTTGCCGTTTTTAAGGTGCTGGAGTGTTATTCTAATCTCGCTCAGACTGACGTCCGGAATATCATCGGAATAGTGTCGGATAAGGCTTGCTCTTGGATCGTTACTCACACTTGCGTGTGGCTCCAACGATGATGTGTATAGCTGCTCATAGAACCTCTCAATCTCACTCAGAATCTAAGGTGTCCCGGAAATGACGCTGCCACACTCGGTCTTCAGCTTCGACAGTTGGCTCTTTCGGGCAGACAGATCTCTAGCAAAGACTTTGGAGCCCTGGTTCCGCTCGATCGCTTCTTCAATACGAGCAGTATTAAAGTTGCGTAAGTCCCGCCGCTTGCATTCGGAGATCTGTCTGTTCAGTTGCCTGTATGCTGTCAAATCTACTGAAAACTGCAGCTTCATTTCCCATCTAACAGCCAAGAGATGAGACTCCGACCGCATGGAGAGTTTCAAAGAGCTTGTCATTCATATCGTCCACTGCATTGCAATCTTCTAGGCATTGAGAACGGTTTTGCAGCTCGAGCTGAAAGGTTTCGGAATTTTGGATTAGAGCACGAGGGGGACGGAACGTTGGCTTCATTAGACGTGACCTCTCCAACTTAACGTTTAGATTCAGTGTGCCTCTCACCATTCGGTGATCGCTGCCGGTTTTCACCCTCGCGATCACTGATTGCGTCTGGTCGTTATAATGAAGTCAATCTCATTTTTTGTCTAACCGTCGGGGCTCGACCAGGTCCACTTTTTGTGGTTATAAATGATGATAATGAGTCATAAAAGAACTTTAAATTAATTATAATTTAGGAACATTATTAATGTTTCTAATTAAGTAGTCTATATCATTAATTTTCTTAGTCTTATCTTTATTCTTTATCATTAATTCGCTTCTTGTGCTTTCAAAAACAAAAACATATTTTTTGACAGTCCGATGGTAGTGGGTATGCTGTGGGAGGTAACGGACCTAGAAGTAGACAAGGTGGTGAGCACGCTGCTGTCACTGTACGTGCCTTCGAAAGCCCAATTGCCCTGGCAGTGCATCGGTAAAGCGGCCTGGAGTAAAGGACGCCTGGGTGAGCATTCAACACGCACACAACCTACATAATATTATAATGTAGGTTTTGACCAAACAAACTTTTAATAGATATTTGATAATTGATTTTAAAGTAACTTCCCAATGAGCTAGGGGACTTGAAATTTTAAACAAAGATCAGAAACAGATGACAATGTAATAACATGAAAAAAAATTATAGGAGAAGAATTATTATAATATTAAGTGTGCTCTCTGTTATTTTAAGGTAATTTGTGTTCACGTATTAAGCAGCAACTTATCCGTGGAGAACGGAGCTAGAGCTGGAGCTGGTTATACTTAAAGTAATATAGTTGTTTAGTTTATAAGGTAAACTGTTAGTATAATTTTTCTCATCCTAAATAAAGAGAGAGAAAAAAAGAAGTTTTACCACAGAATAAATAATGTGTTTACACTTTTTAGTCTGTTTTAAAATCTTGATATACAAATTTTATTTACCGATTACTTGTTTAAGTTACAATTTGTATTTTGTTGAGCTTTCTTTTAACGTAACAATTCCTTACTCCTTAAAATAATATGCTACCAAAATATAGTAATCTTTTTGAAAAATCACAAGGACTTAATATAAATAAATTGCTGACCAACATCAATTTGGATTAACAAGGGGTTGCTCGACTATTGATGCCGATGTTGAGCTAATTAAATATATTTTGTCGAAGAGTTCAGAGGATGCTTTGAGTATATTTTGGGTACATTTCCAAGACTTTCGATTGGGTTCATGAGTAGCGACGAAGAGTGAATAAATCACCATGAGACGTTAATTAGGAAACTACAATATTATGGTGTGAAATTTCATAGGCAAGTTTATCTGAACGAGTGGCAAAGTAAAATAATTATTTTCAACATGTGTGTTATTTATAATCTATTTTAAATAAAAAATATTCTATTATGCTCTTGTCACATGCTAGGTTTACCCAAAAATAATCAGATATCGTAAGCATAGCTCAAGTTTAGAGATTTACACTCTTCAGTTTTTTTTTTTTATAGGATAAGGGTTACAAACGAGCACAAAGTCCACCTGATAGTAAGTGGATATTGTGGATCATTCTCGATTAAGAATTAAAATGTAGATGCATTGTCACCCCTGAGGACTAAGATGGAATGCCTCGTGTTCAGTATAAAAAGTCTCCGGTTCTCTACACCCATCACACGAAACACATCAGCACTAACTTGCTATTTCACGTTACTACTCTGTGAGAGGTGCTTCCTGGTCGAGCGGATCCAATCGTGCCACAACCATGGCTTTGCCACATATGATGTAATTTTTGTTCGTCCGTTACGTTGAATATGTTTTCAAATTATATTAAAATCGTCCGTTTCTGATTCCTGGAGGTAAAAAAGCCTTACCTAACTAAAATAAAACTTTCCATATTTTAGACACAAACGTAGAGCAGAAGACTCCGTTCGTGCCCGAGCGCGACTTGTTGCGTGCAGTTTCGAGATCTCGTGCCGCGTCCAGCTTCACGATGATTGCCAGCAGCCTGGTAGCGAGGGGATTACCGATACGTATATGTGATGATTAGGTATCATATTTTCAGCTAACATTAAATCTTATCTCTAAATTGTTTTCCTAATTTTGATGCTCTACATATAATGGTGACGTAAGAAAATCATCCATCCATTACAGTTCAAAACTTCACTGCTGAACATAGGCCTCTCTCATAGATAGGGGGCATTTTGCCATAGTTGCCACGATTGACGGGCGGGTTAGCACCTGCATTTTTTAATTATTTTGAGTTGTTTTCAGGAAGATGCTGCTGCATCTTAGTTACAATTTCCCTCTGTCATCTTTTATGAACCCACTACACGATTGTGGTTGTTGCAAGTGGCAGAATCCCTGTCTTGTCACTAGGATACCCACGGTCCTACGGGATGATATCGGATAATAGAACGGTGAGCTGAAGGTAGGGAAATTTGGAATAGGGCAACGGAACCCAAGGGGTCAGCAGCTGGCCGAGTTCATGGAGAAAGAGGTCCCTCTTTCTCTTTCTCTTTATGATGAACTCTTTCTTCCAGAAGCGGCCTCACAGGAAGTGGACCTGGTCGAGCCCCGACGATTCGACAAAATCGAGATCGACTTCATTATAACGACCAGACGACAACTGTTCAGTGATGTCTCAGTGATCGCGAGGGTGAAAACCGACACCGAAAGGTGAAAGGCACACTGGCCCTAAACGTTAAGTTGGAGAGGTCTCTTCTAATGAAGTCAATTCTCCGTCCCACTCGTGCTCTAATCCAAAGTCCCGAAACCTTTCAGCTCGAGCCACAAAACCGTTTTCAGTGCCTAGAAGATTGCAATGCAGTGAACGATATGAATGACAAGCTCGCGGAAACTCTCCATGCGGTCGGAGCTAAGTTTTGAAAGACCTGCCCTAGAAGAACACAAAAACTCCGATCACACTTTTAATTTCATGGCTGTTAGACGAAAAATGAAGCAGCAGTCTTCAACAAACTTGACAGCATACAGGCAACTCAACAGCCAGATTTCCAAATGCAAGCGGCGGGACTTACGCAACTTTAATACTGCTCGTATTGAAGAAGCGATCAAGCGGAACCAGGGCTCCAAATTATTTGCTAGAGATCTGTCTGCGAAAAAGAGCCAACTGTCGAAGCTGAAGACCGAGTGTGCAAGCGTCGTTTCCGGGACACCTGAGATTTGAGTGAGGTTGAGAGAACTTCTCTCCAACCTATGGGCAGCTGTACACGTCATCGTTGAAGCCACACGCAAGTGTGAGTAACGATCCAAGAGCAAGTCTTATCTGACACTATTCCGATGATATTCTGGACGTCAGTCTGAGCGAGATTAGAATGGCTCTCCAGCACTTTAAAACAGCAAGGCCCCAGGCGAGGATGGAATTACAGCGGAGCTTCTGAAAGCGGGGGGAAAACCGGTACTTGAAGTCCTTCTTCGTCTTGAAGGTGTGGAGTAGAAGTGCGGTGGTCTTTTTCTTCAAGAAAGACGACAACGCTCTCTTGAAGAACTATAGACCGATTTCCCTTCTGAGCTGCGTCTACGTGCTATTTTCGAGAGTCATTACGAATCGTCTCGCATGCAGGCTCGACGACTTCCAGCCTCCCGAACAAGCCGATTTCCGAAAAGCCTTTAGCACAATAGACCACATACATACCCTTCGGTAAATTGTACAGAAGTCCCAGGAGTACATCATCATCATTACAGCCTTTCATAAGTCCACTGCTGTACATAGGTCTCCCCAAGGAATGCCACAAAGCACGGTCCTGAGCCACCTGCATCCATCGACTTCCTTCATGTCTTACCAGGTCGTCACTCCATCTCGTGGGGGGTCGCCCTACACTTCGCCTACCGGTACGAGGCTGCCACTCAAGAACCTTTTTCCCCATCGGTTGTCGTTTCTTCGAGCTATATGGCCGGCCCACTGCCACTTCAGCTTACTAATCCGTTGGGCTATGTTGGTCACTCTGGTTCTACTGCGAATATCCTCATTTCTAAGTTTATCACGCAGAGAAACTCCGAGCAATAGCCCTCTCCATAGCTCGCTAAGCGACCTTGAGCTTCCTCATACGGTCAGCAGTGAAGGACCACGTCTCAGATCCGTAAGTCATCACTGGCAACATGCACTGGTTGTATAATTTCGTTTTAAGGTTTTGAGGAATGTCTGACGAGAAGATGTGTCGTAGTTTCCCGAACGCTGCCCAGCCGAGTTGAATCCGTCGATTGATCTCTCAGTTGAAGTTGGACTTACCTAGTCGGACTATTTGTCCCAGGTAAACATACTCGTCAACAACTTCGAGCTTTGTGCTCCCAACAACTACCGGCATAGGTGTGACATGGACATTGAACATTATCTTTGTTTTGTCCATGTTCATCTTAAGACCTATCCGTTGGGAGACACTATTGAGGTCATTGAGCATGGTGCTTAGATCCTCCAGCGATTCTGCCATAAGGACTATATCGTCGGCAAATCGAAGATGAGTGATGTACTCGCCATTGATGTTAATACCGTATCCTTTCCAGTCCAGAAGGTTGAAAACGTCTTCAAATGCAGTGGTGAAGAGTTTCGGGGATATGACGTCACCCTGTCTTACACCTCTCTGCAATTGGATAGGTTTCGTACTCTGGTTCTGTACTCGGATAGCCATAGTAGCCCTACTGTATAAGCACTTCAGCAATTCGATATACCGACAGTCAACTTGGCACCGCTGAAGGGACTGCAGCACCGCCCAAATTTCGACGGAATCAAAGGCTTTCTCATAGTACACATACGCCAGGCATAGTGGCAAATTGTACTCCACGGACTTCTGTACAACTTGCCGAAGGGTATGTATGTGGTCTATGGTGCTAAAGCCCTTTCGGAAACCGGCTTGTTCGGGAGGCTGGATATCGTCAAGTCTGCGCGCGAGACTATTCGTAATGACTCTCGAAAACAGCACGTAGACGCGGCTCAGAAGGGAAATCGGTCTGTAGTTCTTCAAGAGAGCGTTGTCACTTTTCTTGAAGAACAAGACCATCGCACTTCTGCTCCACGCCTTCGGTGTAATGCCACTTTGGAGGACGGAATTAAAGAGCTTTTGAAGGACTTCAAGTACCGGTTTTCCACCCGCTTTTATTACACTCCGCTGTAATTCCATCCTCGCCTGGGGCCTTGGCGTTTTTAAGATGCTGGAGAGCCATTCTAATCTCGCTCAGACTGACGTCCGGGATATCTTCGGAATAGTCTCGGATAAGACTCGCTCTTGGATCGTTACTCACACTTGCGTGTGGCTCCAACGATGACGTGTACAGCTGCCCATAGAACCTCTCAATCTCACTCAAAATCTCAGGTACACCATTCTCTCTTGTGCCTAGTTTTGCATTGAAGTCTCCCATTAACACCGTATATTGGGTTTTGGAGGAATGAATGGCTCTAGAGATATCCTCATACATTTCCTCCACCTCCTCATCGGGGTGTGCTGAGGTTGGTGCGTAAACCTGTATGACCTCAGCGAATACCGTTTGGTGATTCTGAGTATAAGGTACGCAACCCTCGTCGACACACTCGATCTTTACAACGTTGTTAACGAGAGACTTGTGGACGATAAATCCGACACCTCCTTGGGACATATGGTCGCCCTTCCGGTGATAGAGCAAGTTGCCGGATTCGAGGATTACCGTGTCCTCCCCCTCTCTTCGGACCTTGGATAATCCTATAATATACCAGCGTAACTTTTCTATCTCTTCTTCCAGCTCCACGATCTTCTCGTCAGTTCTCAGGGTGCATGCGTTGTACGTTGCCAGGTCGAGTCGTCTAAGGTGGTAACCGAACCTCCACCGGAGATTCTTAGCACCCCCTGCCCCGCCGTTACCACGGTTCGCCACCGTAGCCAGGAATAGCGGGGCCGCCGGGGACTGAGGGCCGTCTCTTTGTTACTCTCTTCATAGGGGGGTATTTGCCATAGTTGCCACGCTTGGCGAGCGGGTTGGCAAGTTTTTTTTATTGTAATTTCGGCTGCTATCAGGAAGATGCTGCAGCCCATCTCCTGCCTGTTTCCCTTTGTCACCTTTTACGACACCCACGGGAAGATATGGGGTATTGAATATTCTTAACCGCCACTACACGGCCAGGAGTACAATTTGCCACTATATCTGGCGTATGTGGACTATGGAAAGCCTTTTGATTCCGTCGAAATTCGGGCGGTGCTACAGTCTCTTCAGCGGTGCCAATTGGACTGTCGGTGTATCGAATTGTTTCTAAAATGAATTTTGTAAATAGTTTGTAATCATTTATATTGTAAAATTTATTTAAAAAAAAGTCGCTGGGTTTCTTGCTGGTTCTTCCTAGGACAGAGGATTTTTTTCGAACCAGTGGTAGAGTAAAAAATGACTTTCAATAAGAATTACTTATAATCAATATTGAATAAAAAATTATCTATTCTATTCTATTCGTCCATGTCACACCTATGCCGGTAGTTGTTGGGGGCACTAAGCTCGAAGTTGTTGACGAGTATGTTTACTTGGGACAAATAATCCGATTAGGTAAGTCCAACTTCGACCGAGAGGTCAATCGACGGATGCAACTCGGCTGGACAACGTTCGGGAAATTACGGCACATCTTCTCATCAGATATACCTCAAATCTTGAAAAAGAGACTGTTCAACCAGTGCGCGTTGCCAGTGATGACCTATGGAACTGAGACGAGGTCCTTCACTGCTGGCCGGATGAGGAAGCTCAAGGTCGCTCAGCGAGCTATGAAGAGGGCTATGCTCGGAATTTCTCTGCGTGATATACTAAGAAATAAGGATATCCGCAGTAGAAACAGAGTGACGGACATGACGGACAGCCCAACGGATTAGTATGGGGAAAAAAATTCTCGATTGGCAGCCTCATACCGACAGGCGGTGTAGAACGTCCCAGGAACGTGCAGGAAGTCGATGGATGCAGGTGGCTCAGGACCGTGTTTTGTGGCATTCCTTGGGGGGTGGCCTATGTTCAGCAGTGGACTTGTGAAGAGCTGTAATGGTGATGATGATGATGAATGGAATCCTAGAATGACCATAGTGATTTATT